GCGGGGCCTGCGGGATGCGGGGGCGTGAGGGCCGAGGCTGCGGGGCGGGGCCGGGCCTTCGGGGGCGGGGCCGATGGAGGCGGGGCTTTCGGTGTGAGTGGGCGGGGCTTTTGGAGCGGGCGGGGCCTGCCCAGCCGTAGGTCACAGGGCTTTGGGGGTGCGTGGGCCGGCTCCGCGGACTTGGCCCGAGTGGTCTGGTCTCGGGTGGACTTCGGCTGGACTGCGCGTGGTCCGCGTGAACTCGGGTCCCCCGCCTGCGCTCCACTCCAGCAGAGCCCGGAACCGGGACCCGATCTTCCCTCACGTGGCGTCAAAGTCTGACGGAGGCGTTTGCACCTGAAGCGGCCAGGGCTGCGGCTGCGTAAAGTTAACACCTCCCACCTGAGGATGCCGCTGCCTCTCGCCTGTGCCCAGGAGCCCCCGTGGGTCGACGGCCTTGCCCCGACTCTCCCAGGGGCCGGAGGCGAGGGCAGGCCAGGCCCTATCCTGGGCCCCCAGTATGGGGCATGGGAGGAGGGACCCTGAGACCCCAGTGTGGGGTCAGAGGAGGGGGACGGGCCCTGGGGGCCGGGAATGGGGGCCACGGATGGGCCAGGCCCTGCCGGGGTTGTCTGGGGAGCAGAGGCCAAGTGCGTGGACACAGCTCCAGCTCGAAGGGTGTGCCTCCTCCGCATCCCCTACCAGCACCGGCCGCCCTCGCGCCCACGGGGCCCGGCTGGGCGCGGGAGTCTGTGGACAGCGCCGGGCGTGGGGAGGCTCGGTCCGCGCTCCGGGACACGCTGACCCTGCGGTGCGCGCAGCACCCGGAGGCGCCGGACTACTGTCCCGCCTGCACCTCGAAGCCGCCTCGTCCCCCTAAGCATGACCTTGCCGTCCCCGCCTTCATCAGCGAGCTTAATTCCCCGGAGCCAGGCCGATGCTGGTTGGTTAAAGGGATCCATAAGACCCATCACCTCGCGGACGGAGAGTCAAGGAGCCCTGAATCCCTCCCTCCCAGCACTGGCCAAGTGTTTCTGCTGACCCGAGCCGTTGTGTCGCGACCCCCAGGCCTCGTGCAGCCCCCGCGGGGACAGGCGCTCCTGCCACAGAACTTCCAGTTCTCGGTGAATCCTGCCGCGTCCTGCGCCTCCGGGGCACCGTCTGGGCTCTACAGAGGGGACCCTGTAACGCTCTCCGCTTTGTCTTGCAGCAGGTGGTACTGGTGATGTTGGGGGCTGCGTGATGTCCCCGGGGGTGGGCGTGGTGCCCACAAATGCTGCGGAGGAAAAGCGGTGGATAGGCTGAGCGGGAGAACTGGAGCCCCAGGCTGGGATGAGGGTGTCCGCGGAGAGGGAGGGAAGGAGGGAGAGTGGGTAGGTAAAGAAAGGGAGGACGGGTGGGAGGGAGGGAAGGAAGGAGGATTGGTCCTCGAAGGGAGGGAGGAGGGCCCGCAGAGGGAAGGAGAGAGGGTATACAGAGAGAGGAGGAAGGGAGGGCTGCGCAGGAGTGGCGGGGAGTTGTGGAGGGCGGGTCCAGGAGTGGAGGACCCGGACTATTTCCAGGGGAAGGAATGGCACAAGGGACAGGGGCTGTGAACCAAGACAGCAGACCCCTGAGAAGGTAGGAGGGGAGACTCCGTCCGCCACCCCAGGAGGCATCATCCACTCATCCAGAAACTGGTCACTGAGCACACTGCGCTGGCCCTGAGGAAGAGCGCTGGGCAATGAGGGACTCCTGCCCGCGTGCAGCTCCTTTGACGGGGCAGCCGGACAACAGCAAACTGCAAAATGAACAAGCAAGGAACTGCTACCAAGTGACCTGATGTCAGCTGTGGATGAGTGACCGGGCTTGAATGCCCAGAAGGTGCTGGCCACTGAGAGGGCCGCGGAACAGCCATGGCAAAGGCCCTGATGCAGGGTGTTCAAGGAAAAGAAAAGGCGCCCCTATCCCCCGGAATTCCTCTGAAAGACACCCAACACCCGGGGAGACGTCAGCACGGTGATACTGGGCCAGCAGAATTGTTAGTTTGGTGACAGTCCTCCAAGTCCCTTAGCTCAGCCCCTCTCCCCTCTTCCCTGCCCCTTCAAAGCCAGATGGCTACAGGACCCCCTCCTCTCTCCTAATCTCAGAACCCCCCATTCTGACTTTGGCCTCCATGACTCCCCTGAACCCACCCAGGGCCAGGTCACCAGTGGCAGCCAGGTCACGGGTGAGGGCCAGCTGCCAGAGCAGCAGGTGCTAGAGCTGGTCTTGGGCGGGCTCTTCCTGGGCTCCCAGGGCTTGGCTGACTCTTGGCCTCTGGAGCACTATGACTCACCAATGGTGCCAGTGAGGAGGTACAGATTTCCACTGCTGACGAATTCCTACAGTCCAAACTGCAGGGGCTGCGAAGGAACACAATACGTAAGGACTTACCTCCCTCTATTCATGAGAAAGCGGGGTGCAGGAGAAACATCTTTAAAAAAGAAAACCCACTTCTGACCATCGCTGCCAGAACTTTAACTGTGCTTTCTGATCTGGCATAGTGATTAAAATGGCAAGCAAAGAACACTTGAGTCAAATCCTCCCACGAACTTTGAGAATATCTTCCAAAACAATGAGCAGCTTTTCAGTGAAGCTTCCTTCAATTGTCCTAAATCTCTTCCATGATCACAGCGGCCACCTGGGGTCTAGACTCTTGGCCTTACCCTGTGTGTATGGCCCGCGTGATGTCCTTTTCTGTGCAGGCCCTTCAAGGGCCATTTGTTCTACTGGGCTGTCTGTCTCTTCCTGAAATTTCCAGTTATCCCCTTGCTTGACTGTTAGCCTATAAAACTGGAGTCTAGCGCTGTGATGGTTAATTTTATGTGTCAGCTTGGCTGGACTACGACTCCCAGAGGTTTGACCAAACACTAGACTAGCTGCCGTTCCGTAATATAATCACTTTCCATGATGTGATCTGATCTGATCAATCAGTTGCAAGGGGAGTTTCTTTAGGGGTGTGCTCTGCCTCCAGATTCCTCTTCCACACCCCACCCCACCCCCACTCTGCACGTTTCTCATCACCTGACCTAACGGGTCTTGGAACACAAGCCTGCAGAAGTCTCCAGCCTGCTGCCTGACCTATGGATTTGGGACTTGCCAAAAAAAAAAAAAAAAAAGAAACCCACTGCCTTTGATTCCAACTCATAGTGACCCCATAGGGTTTCCAAGGCTGTAAATCTTTACAGAAGCAGACTGCCACATCTTTCTTCTGTGGAGCCACTGTTGGTTTCGAACCACCAGCCTTTAGGTTAG